TTCGGATTTCATCTTTCAGCTGAGACTGGAGGCACAGTCAGCTTTAATGAACCAAAGCTCCACAAAATCCGCAGGATGCTCATGGAGCCAGAACTGAATCCTGGTTCTCGGAGGATACCTTACGACTTGGTTGACAAGGTGACAGGATTCATGGAGTTTTTAGCACCAGTTCAGCCTGCCATAAAACCAGAGCTTACTGTACTCTATAGGATCCGTCACCAGCACTCAGGAGGGGTCCACATTGCTCTTCAACCGACAAGCACAGATGCTGGAGTGTCCTGGAAGGAGTTTGAGAACTCCATAGAATTTCTTCGATTGTTGGTCAGTGATGTGGATGCTTGGAAATACTACTTCCGGTCATCCTTTATGCACATGCTGCCCCCGGAAGTGAGGCTTAGGATCCCCGGACAGCGAGAAGCTGCCCGAACTGTAACAACAGATGCCGTCCTGGATGTGCTGGGTGCAGTCGACTGGACAGCCAAGCGATGCTGGGGTGGCGCCATAGTGGACCTACAGGGTGCTCTACGAGCCGTGGAACCGCTTCTGCTGGATGAGGACTGGATCCCCATTTCAGAGCTGATCGCCTTCATTGCCTTGGCTTTCCAACAAGGGGCCCACTGGACAAACCAGGTGGTCATTTTGGGGATCGATAACACCTTGGCTCTGAATTGGATAACAAGGCGGAGACCCCGCCACCCCCTGGCACGGGCACTCATCCGGCTGCTAACGCGCCTGGAGGCCCTTCACCACTTTAAGGTATATGCCTTCTACCTCAACACCCATAGAAACAAGTTCAGCGACACCATATCCAGGCTGTTGCAAGTGGCAACAACGTTTGTCCCAACTGTAGGAGCAAGCTCTGTGTCTGCATCCTCTGTGGATGATCTCCGGGAGTACCTCACCCAGAACCACCCTGAATTCGAGTTTGCTCTCTTTGACCCATCCTTGTCCTTCTTCGGTGACTGTGACCAGATCCTTAGGTCATACCGGCTGCCCCATGAGACAGAGTCGGCAGTTGCAGTTTCCCTGTCCAAGTTGAGGCCTGCTCCTTCCGAGCCCTGGCCTAAGCACCGACCGCCCCCGCTGCGTGGGGGAGGTCTGGGCTGGGAAATTCGGGTTCTCTTCTCGCTGGTCGAAAACGGCGAGGCAAGTTCCCGGCCCGAGCCTGTCACAACTGAACAGGCTGTGGCTACGGCTTTGGACAATCTGACAGCAGAGAAATGTCGAATAGGCGTTGTCCCCTGTCCAGACGACGACTATCGACCTTATGTGGCGAGCGCAAAGGCTGGGGCCATCAGCCCACACCTCGACGACAGTACACCACTACGCTTCAACCAGGTAAATCCCAAGAGGAAGGACTCCCAGAGCAACGTGAGGTATGAGAAGTACAAGCGTGCTCGGACTTATGGGGAGTACAGGGTACTGAACCCTGCCCTGGCTCAGGCGGACCTCAGGAACGATCTGAGTCATGGATACTTAGAAATTCTTGGCCATGGGAACCTGGTTCCTCCCCGGCCTCCGCCCACTGCGCGAACCGCTCCGACTCCTGGACCCACTCCAGGGACCGGACATCGGTGCATTCCGGGCATAGAGCAAGGGATTACGATGGACAACAAGGAGGAGTTTTGTAAGAACGGCGGCATGCAGCTCATGTACGAGCGCTTGTCCGCAGGCACAAAGAAGACCTATGAGTCCTCCTTAAAGAAGTGGCACTTATGGCGTCATGTACGCCAAAAACCATTTATGTTAGGCACCGACGACGAGGCTGAGGAAAACGATCTTATGGAATTTGTCTACTGGGCTGGCATAGGCCATGGATACAAGCATTCCACCCTTCATGTGTGTCTATATGCACTCAGGTTTGCACATCTGGTCGCAGATGGCAGGGATATTCTCAAGGACAAGTTGCGACTTAAGATGGCCATGGCTGGCTTGAAGCGTCGACAGAAGTCCCCCAAGCGCAAGCATCCGGTGACAGTGGCACATATTAAGCAGATCCAACTGGGGTTGGACACTGGGCTGTGGGATGACTTGCTGTTACTCACCGCGGTGTCTTTCGGTTTCTCCCTGTGAATACCTGTCAAAGGATGGTGTGGTCCACGAGGACAAGGTCCTCCGCATGGAGCATCTCCACATCTTCCAGGCAGGTCACAAGTTGGGGTGGGAACAAATTATGGCAGCGGACGAGTTGGTCATCCACATCCCAGGCTCCAAAACAGACATCTACAACGACGGTTACAAGCTCAATATCAAACTGCGAGCAGGTGACACGCCGTCTGACATCAACCCGTTATGCCTCCTTAGGCAGCTGTACACAATGAACCCAGCCCGCTTCGGAGCCAACGGGTCCAAGCGGCCCGTGTTCTGCTTAGCCTGCGGTAGGGTCCTGGAGCGTAGCACAGTTAACACAGCGCTCAAAGCAGCGGCGGTGGCTCTGGGTTTGGACCCTGCTGATCACGCCACCCATTCGCTGCGGGCTGGTGGAGCTACAGCCTTGTATGCCTTCGGGTGGCCTCCTTCAAAGATCCAGCGTCGAGGGCGGTGGCTGTCTGATTGTTGGTTACTGTATATTTGGCCGGACAGGGAGGAGGCAACAGGTCTCATGGAAGACGTGGTCTCCAGTCCGGCCCCCTTGTTCCATATTTAAAAAAAGAAAAAAAAAAATTACTTTCCTCATTATGTTGCAGAAGTATGGCTGAGGTGGCTGCGCCATCCAAGCGCGGTCCGTCGGCCTTCATCCTGGCATATTTAATTGAAACTGAGCTCAACCTCCCCTCGGGGAGGATCTTACTTGCTTCCTTTAGCTCAGGCTAGTGGGAGATACGAAAGGCCAAGTGGACGGAAATTGCATTTACGGCAGTACAATATGTTTCCGGTAACGAGTTAGTGAGTTTAGACCACCTATCATCATCCAGCTAAATAAAACTGCTGGTTGTGGTGGTCCTCTCCCAGCTCGCCGCTTCCCCGGGGTCCGGGGTGGCGCGGCTTATATTTTTTGGCCCGCCCACCACCCTCCTTCGGCACAGATGAAGCACCCGCCCTGCCCTACCCTCCTCCGTCCCGCTGAGGTGGCTGCGCCATCCAAGCGCGGTCCGTCGGCCTTCATCCTGGCATATTTAATTGAAACTGAGCTCAACCTCCCCTCGGGGAGGATCTTACTTGCTTCCTTTAGCTCAGGCTAGTAGAGTAATTTGTTCACAAGTTCCCGTATTAGCAATCGAAAACACTGAGTGGGCAGTAACCTCGTTGCCCTCCAAATAAAACCTCAAACACTGTTTTATTTCACGTATTTGAGAATAATCATACATAATGTCCCCATCGACTACAAAGGCGTGAGTTATGCCTTG